CGATTTAGATAAAACTTAGACAATGACAGAGTTGCTAGATAATCTCATCCTAGCAGTTAAACGTAACGAGCATATAGCAAGTCTGAAAAATACAAGTAACAACGATTATACTGTATTTCATACTAGCTTAAGAACAAGCCAAATAAGACACTGCATTGGATGTGGGCATCCCCATAGGTTCGAGTTCTGCAACAACTACACTACAATACCACGAAGAATCGAGCGTCTTGAAGCACTCAAGGCATGCTGGAAGTGCTTCAAGCAAAATCATTCAACACAATTTTGCCGCAGGCGGAACTGCTTCTACTGTTGAAGGAAACCATAACCCATTGTATGCAGGAGACAGCATAACGCAAACGTAAGAAATCGGCATGAGTTTGTTAAATACACACGGAGCAGAAGCTCTTCACCGTTGCATTAAGGCGCGATTCGCTCCAAAACTCACTCTCACGTCAAAGAACCTTCAATTTCACCCGCCAACCTTTCTCATCACAATCCTATTCAAAATCACCTCAACGTCACACTAGAAAAGGTCTAACAAGGTCGTTCTCACGCTCGCCATCAAGGAGTCCTGGAGCGCCACATCGTGTCAGATTCGCTCATAGTCCTCCAGCAAGGATTACATCAGTTCAGACTGTCAGAGTCAACTTCCAAATTCAGCATTCGGATCACATACATCCTCAGCAAGAGTACACCACAAGTCCCTTTCTGAATCACGGAGAAATGCGCCTAGTGATCGTACCTGTTAAACTAAAGTCTAATGTAGATGCAGAAAAACAATCACTACTGGATTCCGCTTTAGACCAAGCTTTCATTTTGAGCACGCTCGTATAGGAAATGAATCTCCCAGTACGACACGAAACTACAATCATAGTACATACATTTGGGGACCGAACAGAAAAGAGACGTGTGAAGCGTGTCGTGGGTCAACTATTCAATGCCAAAGGAGAGCACATTAGAATTGAATTTCTGACGCTCAAGATCAAAGGCTCTTCTGGTAATGAACGATCATGCCCCTTCTGTGGAGGGAATCATTATGCATCCGAATGCCGTAGATGCACCCGTTTGTCTGAGAGGCGGAGACAACTTACCCTCAATAAGAAATGTGAGCGCTGCCTTCAAGACGCTACTTCTTGTAGGAAAAAGGACCCATGCCACTATTGTTTCGTAGAGAGGCGAGAAATCGAAATGGGCAGCCACCATTCCGCATTCTGCCCACACAAATTCCAATTCCAATCCAAAATTTCAATAAAATATATCGGAGTACGAGAAAATTCAAGAAACCCTTTTGCTGCAAGTTGCTGCAAGTCCACACTACTAAAAATTCGCAAAAATTTTTGGCGTCGACTCCACGTCCAAAATTCAATGCAAAAGCTCAAATTTTTTCCTCTTCGCGATAAGTCCACGTTCGAAATTAAAATGAAAGTTTAAACTCATCAAACTAAAAGTGCGAACCCAACCGCATCTTCATGGTTATTCCTCACACCTTTTGTTGACTATTATTTACAGTTGTTCACTTTCGATTTATAATGGCAATTTTCTCCATTGTCGCTTTTTCAATATGCAGTATGTGTCGCTTTTTCAATATGCAATATCGCTTGTGATTTATTGATACTTCATTCTCTTGTCAGTAAGTGTATCATTTTTTTCTCATAGAATTAGAATTGGGATGAAGGAGGATAATTTCAAAAAAGAAAAAAATTGAAAAAAATCCAAATTGACCGTAGCGGGGAGGATACACGGAACAAATAATTAGTTCCGTGAGGACTTCTTCAAGCTGCTGGGGAGTGTAATGAACTCCCTGTTACATGATGTCATTATCGCCCGCCCCTTCGCACCGTATAAAACGGCGGTGATATGTCGGCGTGGAGCGCTGTTATCGGTCAGTCATACTTGGTCGCCTCCGTCTCTATGACGAGTACCTCGGACGTTGCGGACCCGCAGAGTACGGTTGACAAATGAACCACCAAAATCTTATCTGGGAAATGATGCGCCAGAACAGGAGTGTTACTATCGTCGCGAAGTGCGTAAC